CAATTACACTGGCTTCTCTTACAGCGTTGTTGTGATGATTATAAAGATGTTTGTCCCAATCTAACAGGAAGCAAAAGGTTTACAAATAAGCGGTGCATGAAGATTTCCTGGACATGAAAGTACTTGGGCAATGCATATGCAGCCCCTGTCGCATTGTCATCAGTAGCATCATTCATTCTAGGAAAGAGGGAAGTGAATCTGATTGACTGCTTGTACCTCAAACAGATAGCTGATCTCCTTAGCCTGGGGGAAATGACATACAGCACCTGTTTGTGTCTCCTCTGTCACCTCCTGTTGGATCAAGGCAAATGTACATGAAGCACTTTGGATTCAGTTGTTTTGTGAAACACTGTAATGGTTGCTGAATACTTTGATTTCCTGGGCAAGGGGTAATATAGCAGTATTGTGAAACTCACTGTGGTGGTGGCAGTCTCAAGATAACTGGAAAATACGGTGGTGTCATTTTGATATGCTGTCCTGTACATAAACAGAACGTAAATGTCACGTTAAGGTTTCCACTGGAAATATAAATGCAAGTAATGTGTAATGTGTCTATAGAGTAGGATGTTGAACTAACTTTTCAACTTGTTTTTACCAATAACCACTTCTTTGGCTGCTGAAGAGGAAGTACGGTAGGTTGTTGTAGCATCAAAGAAGTCTGTTTTGCATTGCTTACACTTTCCACCATCCTCTCTCTTGCAAATAGCACAGAAGAGCCTCTCATTTTCTGTATCAAAATGCTTCCTAAGCCAGTTTTCTTTGGATATTAACTCAATATTTTAACAATCCACACTAATTTCTACAATTCAATCCCCCAGACCCCACTTCTACTGTGTCTTTCCTATATGTATCTCCATTAATTCTCACGCTGTTTCTTCAGTTAGCAAATCACTGATGGAAAGTACCTATGAGAACGTTTCCAGCTTCATTTTAGCTTCATCCTGCAAAAGCCAAACCCACAGTAATTACCATTTAGGCTGCTTCTCCTCCTGTAACCAGTGAACTGAACGGATTGCAATACAGTCTTACATCTAACTGCACATGTTGCATCTATCAGTATTTCCCAATGGCATGTGTGTTCCCAAGAGAATGCTCTTTTTATTTCAAAAGGGAGACGCTTAGATCTTTCCTGTCATCTTGAGAGTCTTATATCTGGGACCAACTAGAAACGAATAAATCCCAAGACTTATTTCACATGTTCCACTTAAAACACATTTTAGTCTCTCTCACTTTTGGTATGTATGCATAAAAGACAGAAATGTTGTTTTAATAACATTTGCATTGAAGGATGCTGATGTAGAAAAGTGGATTTATTTTTTTTGTATCACCTGTGAGCGGATGCATTCTGTCTGAAGGACAGTTCTCCACCACTCATTTCTTTTCCATAGATTTACACAGTTGGTAGTGGATTCCCCCCTCCTCATTTTACCTCTTACCAGACATTTGGGAGGGAACCCTGTCAATAACTTGCAAGCCAGTTTGCTTCACCCCTCCTCAGTTTGAGGAGAAAGTCTAATGGTGGCAAAAACCCAGCCATCAATTCATCCTTTTTTGCTGTTGCTATTGTTGCTCTGAGGAAATTGTGTGCGTCTCTTGTTTTCAAAGGCACATGTATATGCACAGCATATTTTTTTTAAAGAAATGGCATCAGTCTAACCAAAAGGCTTAAATTGTATGGCATGGGGATGGAGCAGTCAAATGATGAGGCACTGGGCAGGATGTGGCACAGAGGCCCACCTGAAAGTGGCCCAAGGTTGGGCCAGAATAATGCCTGTGGAACTGCAACAGAGTATAGTTGCAGGGTTGTTTGGACCAGCAACCAAAGTAGGCAGGTAGGTGAATGTCTTCTCCTGCAAAAGCTTAAAGGGATGGCGGGGTATTTAAAAACAGGAAAAGCAAAACTCATGAGTTGTGGTAATCATACTAGCTGAAGGGGGGCTCCTTTAAAAAAGAGGTCTCCTCTCTAATCTCCTTGTGCCTGTGTGTTCTGGCTTTGTGGGGGCAGCTATTGTTGCACAAAGCTGATGTGCTCTTGTAATAAAGGTGTGAAGACTGGAAAGGTGGGTGGAAGGCAAGGCAAGAGAGTGTCTGTAGAATTCTGCAAGCTGAATTCTGCAACTTGGCATAGTCAGGTGTTCAGAACATGGGGGCAGGTCCAGTTTGAGGTCTTTAGGTACTCTGGGCTACAGTTGCAACTCTGGTTGCGAACATATTTCATTCTGTTTGGTTTTTTTTAATGATATTTATTAAGAATTTTAGAATTACAGAAAAAACAAAAAAGAAAAAGAAAAAGGAAAAAACAGAAGAAAAACAAACCACAATCAAACAATACAAATTGATAAAAATCAAAATCAAAAAAATAAGAACAAAGCACGTAACACAACACAATCAAAAAGCAAAAATAAGCCACAAACATTTAAAAAACAAATCCAATATTCTCAAATCCTTTACTGTCATTACCTTCTTTCTTTGACCTCCTCACTCCTCCCTTTTTTTGTATCCTAGTTGTTAATTGTCACAGCAAATCCTTTCCATTTTTCATAATATTCTGTCATTACATTACCTTAATCTATTTTAACCTTATCTTACTATAAAAGACCCTAAAACTTGAAACTTAGATCTTATTTATACCAATTTCTCATAACTATAACATATTCTTACATAATTCTTTTAACATTTTTGCTAAAGCCAGATGATTTCGTTCCAACATTTTTCTAACATTCATCAATTTTATAAAGCAATCCTAATAAAAAAAATTTTTTTCTTCCAATCTTCATCCAGCGTCTCTTCCTCCTGGTCCCGGGTTTTGTCAGTCCTTTCTATCCCATCAATCTAGCGCATTAACCTGGTAATCTTAAGTCCGAGGCCCTTAAGTCTCTTCCATGTCCCTTCCGCGGCTCTTCTTCATATTTATACCTGTACTTTACTTTGTCTCCTGCTCCTTTCACTCGTGGGAACTCCAACTTGACAGTGTTTTTGACCCTTCTCGACAAATCAGTCCCTTTTCCATATTCCACACTAAACTCCATGTGGTATTTAAAAACATGTTTCAAAGTCCCTCCAGAATTAAGAGCCCCCACAACCCCAAACATCTCACGGCCCATTGCCAGACTTGAAAAGTCCAAACATCCCTGCATAGGGGGGTCTATCCAACCCCCCATTTCCAAACCAAACCAAACTGTATCTTTCCAAATCTGGCTTTTTCCAAGTTCATTTGTCAAATTCAAGAACTCATGTTCCTGCTGGGCCACAGCTCCCTCCATCTCTGGCGCCCGAGGTTCAGCAACATCCTTGTGCTGGTCCCGGGGGTAAGGTACCTTGGGTGTAGCAGAGTCCACACGAAGAGGGGCAAGGTCCGAGGCAGAGAGCCGGGCGGGGAACAGGAGTGCTGGAACAGGAGGCTGTGCAGGGAACAGGAACACCGGATGGTCGGGAACAGGAGGCCGAGCAGGGAACAGGAGTACCGGATAGTCAGGAACAGGAAGCCGAGCAGGGATCAGGAACACAGGAAGGTCCGAAGCCAACAACGACGTTGCTCCCGCAACCTGGGGCCGGGCTGACTGGGCTTTTATCCTCTTCTAAGGCCAGGGGCGGTCCCGGTCCCCAGGAGCCCCGCCTCCTCTGGCCTTAAGGCGAGCACTCCTCCTGGGGGCAACCAGTTCCCTTCGCCTCTCTGCCCTAAGCCTCTGCAGATCAGGAGAGGCCGAAGGGTTACTGGGCCCTGGAGGAGGCTCACCTGTGGCCACTGAGTCATCAAGCCCCTCTGGGGCCCGAAGGGCTTCACCTGGGGCCAGCTCCTGATGCACTGCCACAGGTGCAGGCTCTTCAGCATCAAGGCCTTGCCCCAGTTCAGCCGGCCCTGGAGGCGGGGACTCCTGTGCAGGCCGGGATTCCTCTGTTTCATCCTCCGAATCGGAATCCCAGGCCATCACACCATCCCCCTCCCAGGCCCCCCCCTCAACCGAGGGTCCGGACCCGGCTTGCCGGGATACGTCGCATGGAACTCTCGGAGGCAGGCAGGTGCATGGACATTGGCCGCTGGTTCCCAGGAACGGTCCTCCGGTCCGTACCCCTTCCAGTCAATGAGATACTGCAGCTTTCCCCTGCGGTATCGGGAGTCCAGGATGCGTTCCACCTCGTACTCAGGCTCTCCCCGAACCAACACTGGCTGCGGTCGGGGACGGTTCTGGTGGAACTCGTCGGGTGGGGCCACCGGACTCAAAAGGGACCTGTGGAAGACCGGGTGAACCTTCAGGGTTGCGGGTAACCGGAGACGGAATGCCACAGGAGAGATTTGGTCTACGATAGGGAACGGGCCGGTGAAGCGGGCGTCCAACTTCCGCGAAGGTCGAGAGGGGTGGAGGTGGCGAGTGGAGAGCCAAACCAGGTCACCGACGCGAGTTCCGGCCCCACCTGGCGGTGGCGGTCGGCCTGGGCTTTGTACGCTTCCTTGGCCTGGTGCAGTTGCTCCACCAAAAGCTGTTGCTGGGACTGGAGCTCTTGAAGCCACTCCGTCACCGCCGGGACCGCGGATGCCGGCAGCACCTCTGGAAACAGCCGTGGATGATAACCATAACTGGCCTGGAACGGGGTCTGCTGGGTGGACGCATTCACCGCGTTGTTATAGGCGAACTCCGCCAATGCCAGGTGGTCGACCCAGTCATCCTGCTGGTAGCTGCAGTAACACCGGAGGTACTGCTCCAGCACCGCGTTCGCCCGTTCCGTCTGGCCATCGGTCTGTGGGTGGTAGGCTGACGAGAGGCAGACCTCTGTCCCGAGGGTCTGGTGTAATGCTCGCCAGAACCGGGATGTGAACTGAACGCCCCGGTCGGACACCACGCGCTCAGGTAGTCCATGCAGGCGGAAGACATGCTGAAGGTACAGCTGAGCAGTTTCCTTGGCTGTGGGTACAGATGGACAGGGAGCGCAGTGCACCATCTTGGTGAAATGGTCGGAGAAAACCAGAAGGCAGGTACAGCCACGAGACGAGGGTAAGTCCACTACAAAGTCCAACGAAACTGTGTGCCAAGGGCGCGGTGGAACTGGCAATGGCTGAAGTAGGCCGGGGGTCGCCCGGTAGGCCCCTTGGCGCGTCGGCAGACATCACAACCAGCAACGTAGCGAGCCACGTCAGCCTTCAGGCGGGGCCACCAAAACTCACGACTGACCAGATGGGTGGTCCGATACCGTCCAAAGTGCCCCGCTGCCGGGGCATCATGGGCCATCCGGAGAACCTCCAGCCGCAGTGGCCCTGGCGGGATGTACAGACGACCGTGGTGCAGCAGGAGGCCCTGATGCAGGACCAGCCCCGGATACTGTGGGCTGGACCCTTCAGCCAGCTCCCGGAGTCGTTCCTGGGCCCAAGCGTCGACCCGCTGCTGTTCCCGCACCCGAACCTGCAGTGGCTGCGCCTCCTGGGTGGCCAGGAATGCGGCCGGAGGTAGGATCGTGGCGGGTTCTGCTTGCTGTACCGTGTCTGCGTTGTCTTCAGGTTTCCGGGACAGGGCATCCGCCTTCAGATTCTGAGAGCTAGGGATGTAGCGGATCCGAAACTGGAACCGGGAAAAGAACAACGCCCACCGGATCTGTCTTTGGTTCAGCTTGCGGGTGGTCTGGAGGTACTCCAGGTTCCGGTGGTCGGTTCTTACCTCCACCGGATGTCGTGCCCCCTCAAGATGGTGGCGCCAGACCTCAAAGGCTACCTTGATGGCCAGTAGTTCCCGCTCCCACACAGTATAGTTACGCTCCGCTGGTAGGAGCTGGCGGGAATAGAAGGCACAGGGTAAGAGTGGCGCTTCGGGCCCAATCTGTTGAGACAAGACGGCACCGAGAGCCGTACTGGAGGCGTCGGTCTCCACCACAAAGGGTCGAGAGGGGTCAGGGTGTTGTAAGATTGGTGCCCTCTGGAAACAGGCCTTCAACCCCTGAAACGCCTCCTCTGCCTCCTTGTCCCAGGAAAACGGCGTCTTTGGGCGCAGTAGCCGGGTCAACGGGGTGGTGCGATGAGCATAATCAGCGATGAAGGTCCGGTAGTAATTGGCGAACCCCAGGAAACGTTGTAGGTCCTTGCGGTTCCGGGGTGCCGCCCATTCTTGAACCGCTGTCACCTTCCCCGGGTCCATTTGCACCCCATCCGGAGAGAGCCGGTGACCAAGGAAGTCCACAGTCCGCTGATGGAACTCGCACTTGCTGAGCTTTGCGTACAAACGGTGCTCACGCAAGCGCTGCAGCACGGTCCGGACATGTCCCTCATGGCGAGCCGGGTCACGGGAGTAAATCAGTATGTCATCCAAATACACCACCACGTACTTGTCTAACAAGTCCTGAAACACGTGGTTGATGTAGCGTTGGAACACAGCAGGCGCGTTGCACAACCCGAAAGGCATAACCAAATATTCGAACTGCCCGTACCGGGTCCCAAACGCTGTCTTCCACTCATCCCCGGCTCGGATCCGAATCAAGTTGTAGGCCCCCCGGAGGTCCAGCTTGGTGAACACCTGTGCCCCTTGCACCCGCTCCAGCAGCTCCGAGATAAGGGGCAAGGGGTATCGGTCTGGGACGGTAATTTTGTTCAAGGCTCGGTAATCATGGCAAGGGCGGAGTTCCCCACATTTCTTCTTAACGAAAAGCACTGGTGCCGCGGTAGGCGAGGTGGACGGCCTAATGAACCCACGCTCCAGGTTCTTGCGCAAGAAGTCCTGCAAAGCCTCGCGCTCTGGCTCTGTTAGAGAATATAAGCGACTCACTGGTAGAGGCGCTCCGGGTTGGAGGTCTATGCCGCAGTCAAAGGCCGATGCGGCGGCAGCTGGTCTGCCCCCGTTCCTCGAACACGTCCTGGTAGTCCTGATACACGGCTGGGAGCGTGGGTGCTGCCTCCTCTGAGGCGCGGCCGCCAGCGTCCCGGATTGAGCATGGGAACATGGGTCTGGGAAGTGCACGGTCCGTTTGACCCAGTGAATCTGAACGTTGTGGGCTTCCAGCCAGTCCATCCCGAGCACCAGGGGAAGCGGGGCATAGAGGCAATGTCCAAAGTTCGCAACTCCCGGTGCTGCTGGAAACACAGGACCAGGGGCTGGGTCTCCTGAGTAACGGCACCTGAACACAGAAGTCGTCCGTCAATCGCTTCCACCTGGACCGGTACTGGCTAGTTCCAAGTGGCACCTGATGATGGGCGGCAAAAGCAGCGTCCATATAAGAGCGGGTTGCCCCTGAATCCACCAAAGCATGGGTGGGGATCCAGGGCCCACCTGGAGGGTATAAACGTACCGGAACCATAAGATGTTGCGAGTCCATTGATGCAGGCCCATTCTGCGCGGTTTGGGACCCCCGGCAGCTAGGGCCATCAGCTACTGGGGTTGGCGGTTTCCCTGCGGCTGGCGTTTCTCAGGGCAAGACCGAGCGAAGTGTCCACTTCCGCCACAGTAAAGACAGAGATTTCCCTCCCGACGCCGCGCCTTCTCTGCGGGGGAAAGGCGTGGCCGCACTGCCCCGAGCTGCATAGGCTCCTCCGTTAAATCAGTTGTGACCGTGGGGCTGCCGGAAAAGCTGGTGCCGTGAACTGGAAGTGTCGGCGACCCCGGGCCTGACGACGATCCTCCAACCGGTCGTCTATTTGTAGACTCCGTTGAATGAGAGTGTCTAGCGTGGTGGGGCGTTCCATTGTGGCCAACTGGTCCAGTACCTCGTCCGAAAGCCCTTCGAGATACTGGTCCCGCAGTGCCGAATCATTCCAGGTCAAGTCCTGTGCCAACAGCCGAAACTCCGTGGTATATGCGGCCACCGTGGACTTGCCCTGTTTCAAACGCCCGAATCGCCCGGTTGGCTTGACTCCCTTTCTGGGGGTTGCCGAACGCGGCCTCCAAACGATTGCAAAACCCCGTATAGTCTGCCAGCAAGGGGAGTCTTGCCTGAGTAGCGGCAACGCCCACTTGGCCGCCTGGTCCTTTAACAAACTAATCAAAAAGTGCACCTTGGTGCGGTCGTCAGGAAAGTTCCGGGCTCGCCCCTGAATATACAGCTTGGCCTGGGCCAGGAACATGGGAAAGCTGGCCGGGGCTCCATCAAATTTCTCAGGCAAAGCCACTGGGTACTTGCCAGGAGCCGGGCGTCGGCCCCAGGAGCCGGTAGGGCTTCCAAGCGTTGTTGAAGTGCCACAACCGCGTCACTGAGCTGCTGCACGGTGTGAGTCAAGGCCTGGTTCTTCTGGGCCAAAGCCACCAGTGCAGCCGCCTGGTCAGCCATGGCCTCTGGCTCTTCCCGAACGCACCCCTACGAAGGGGGGAGTGCGGGTTTGGCGGGAGCAAACTGTGCTGGTCCCGGGGGTAAGGTACCTTGGGTGTAGCAGAGTCCACACGAAGAGGGGCAAGGTCCGAGGCAGAGAGCCGGGCGGGGAACAGGAGTGCTGGAACAGGAGGCTGCGCAGGGAACAGGAACACCGGATGGTCGGGAACAGGAGGCCGAGCAGGGAACAGGAGTACCGGATAGTCAGGAACAGGAAGCCGAGCAGGGATCAGGAACACAGGAAGGTCCGAAGCCAACAACGACGTTGCTCCCGCAACCTGGGGCCGGGCTGACTGGGCTTTTATCCTCTTCTAAGGCCAGGGCGGTCCCGGTCCCCAGGAGCCCCGCCTCCTCTGGCCTTAAGGCGAGCACTCCTCCTGGGGGCAACCAGTTCCCTTCGCCTCTCTGCCCTAAGCCTCTGCAGATCAGGAGAGGCCGAAGGGTTACTGGGCCCTGGAGGAGGCTCACCTGTGGCCACTGAGTCATCAAGCCCCTCTGGGGCCCGAAGGGCTTCACCTGGGGCCAGCTCCTGATGCACTGCCACAGGTGCAGGCTCTTCAGCATCAAGGCCTTGCCCCAGTTCAGCCGGCCCTGGAGGCGGGGACTCCTGTGCAGGCCGGGATTCCTCTGTTTCATCCTCCGAATCGGAATCCCAGGCCATCACAATCCTCTTCCCTCATCTGATCTGTCAGAGCACACTCCTGATTTGATTCCTGGGTGGGCTCTATATAGTTTCCCACTACCTGTCCAAAATTTCTGATCACAGCAGTCATCAAGTCCGTCTTCTCATGTAGCTGTTCCAGTAGGGCACTTGTTTTGCAGAAAGCACGCACCAGAGCTTCTGGATACATTGTTCTGCAAGGTCAGAAGTCTATTCCCACGATCGTAATCTGTTACAGCTGCAGAGCTCCCCGATTCAGATTTAGTAACAGTTTCACAGGCTCCCTCTAGGGGAAGAACTTCTATTTGTTCTTTTCTTTTAAAGGCAGATCTAGCAACAAAGTTTCCTTTTTTCAGATATTTTGTCAATATTTGTTCCTTTAAAATGCAAAGGAGAACAATGGAATCACTATGTTTCTCTTCTTTTAACTATCTGTCAAAGACGTTTGTCTCTGGTCAATGAGCTTCCCAATGAACGTCAGTCCTGACACCCCGCTCCCAGGATCAAGACGGTGGAAAATTACTTTGCTTTACACTTTCTTCTGCAGGTTTAAACAGTCCGGAAAAAATCCCCCCTCTTCTCCTGCTTCCGAAGGGGGTTCAACAATTTTAAATGATTAAAGTTAATCTTTTACAAGCGATTTTCTGAACTCTAGTTTGCCATCCTTGCTTTAATCTATCTACAAGAAACGGAAGGCTGACTTCCTGTTTAGACCTTCCCGTTTCAGTGCCAAATTGAGATGAATTTCTTAGTCCAATTTTCCTTTCTACTCGCAGGTCATTATTTAAAGTCCAATTGTCCGAAATTAAAGTACTCACGGGTAATTGTTTTAAAAGCCAAATTGTCCCAGGAAGAAGCAGTTGACTCTCAGCACCGTGCCACTTCCCCCTCTTCGCTCCGGAGCCCGTAAGTGGGTTCCTTTATGGTTGGGGGGGCGCTAAAGATGCCCGCCGAGTCCCATGGTCACAGGCTTCATCCGCCTGTGATTTTTGAAAGGGTCCCTGCTTCGCCGTAGCGGGAAAGACCCGTTTTCCGTGGAGCTGGTCCCTCCGGATCAGAGGGAATCCGCCATTACCGATGGCGCCACCCCGGAAGTCCGCGAACATATTTCATTCTGGAGGTCCGTTCTTAACCTGAGGTACCACTTTAGCTAAAGGAGCCTCCCGCTGCTGCCGCGCTGCTGGTGCACAATTTCTGTTCTCATCATGAGGTAAAGTTCTTAACCCGAGGTACTACTTCCAGTTTAGCAGAGTCTGTAACCCGAAGTGCTTGTAACCTGAGGTACCACTGTACTTCAAATCCAAGCCTCTGCCTCATTCCATGTCTTATTGTATAATGAGCAACAACAATAGCACATTAAATGATCAAGAGTTGACCAGGGTACTCTTTCCTTTAGTATGTTACATACTAAATAAAGTGTTGCGCTTTCCCAACTCTGAAGTGCTTATGCATTTTTACACCCACTCCATTGAGCATAAGACGGGCAATTCTGAGGAATCCTGCTCTGTGCCTCCTGCAGTTCATAAAATCATAGAATTGTAGAGTTGGAAGGAACCTCAAGGCTCATGTAGTCCAACCCCCTGCAATGCAGGAATCTCAACATGCAGTCTCCCATCCAATTTGAAATCATACCGGACACTGCTGAGCTTTGCAAATGTGTTAGTAGCTGTAGAGCTGCGCCACTAGTTCTGATATCTTCATCTCATAGCCACCCCCTCTCCGGTTCTCTCCTCAAAACACACCCTTTCCCTCTCTGCTAATAATCCTTACACCCTGCTCTGCCAATGTTGTTGTCCCCATGTGTTATCTTGTGTTTGTCTTGCTCTTACTTAAACCATAAAAGCTTCAGGGCAGGGAGCTTGTCTTATCTGTTTGTCAAGCCCTACACAAGTTCACAGGGCTGCGTAAGTGCTTTTGATAATCCACAATAACAATAAAATAGGTCATCTTAGAAAAAGAAACAGATTGAAGGTGTGGCACAAGCTCAATTCCTCCAGCGCCACCTTCTGTTTTTTGCTTTTCAACAAGTGCACTTTGGAGTGTTGAGATCATCTCAGTATGGCGAGTGAGGAGGAATGATTAGGGGACACAGAGCTGTTGTCAGTGAACTTACTCTCCTACTTTTGTAGGTCCCACTATGATTCTGCCGCAGACAGGGTGAGGGGATAAATTCACACTTCCTGAAACAATGAACAAACTAAAAATGCATGTACCTTTTGAATTTTGTGCTTCTCCGGATGCCATAATGCAGTTCTCCAGCAACAACAAAATAGTCTTCAGAAAGCATATATTCAGGGCAAGTGTGCATGAAAATGCAAATATTACTGGAAATAATAAAATGAATTATATTGTGCAAAACTGTTTGCAAAAATATGTTTATTAGGAGAAATATATACTAAAATGCTGATGAACTTTTTTGATTACCCTTTTTAAAATTGCAAACTGATGCAGAAATACAGCAAGCTAAACCTAAGTTCTGAAAAATGAGAAACTCAGAGGGATGCTGAAAACGACAACTTCGTCCATGCTTCACACTGCTGCATGACCATCTGCTTGGGTGTGTTGCCAACATGGCTATAAGCTATTTGTAGGCTACTCTACAGCTTATGTGTGGAAGGGCTCTCACTCAGGTCCCCAAACTCAGTGGAAAACTCCAAGCAACACAACAATGTCAGGACAGGGTGGCCTAAGGTCTTACATTAACATCACTTCTGTTTACGTCATGGGGATCATATCGTATAAAAATGAGCATGTTTTCTTTGGCCTTGAACAGCCCTTGTGTGTTGTGGTAGATGTTTGGAAAGAGCCAGGTCCCAAATTTTCCCTTGCCATCCTGTTAGAACTGGTTCTTTTCAGCCTTTCCAGCGGAAGGAAATCTCTAAATGGGTTGTGGCAAGCAACATGGCAGTTATATCTTTATGTATAAAGCAGGGGTCGGCAACCTTTTTCAGCCGTGGGCCAGTCCACCATTCCTCAGACCATGTGGTGGGCTGGACTATATTTTTATTTGGGGGGGGGATGAACTAATTCCTATGCCCCACAAATAACCCAGAGATGCATTTTAAATAAAGGGACACATTCTACTCATGTAAAAACATGCTGATTCCCGGACTGTCCGTGGGCCGGCCTGAGAGGGCGATTGGGCCGTATCTGGCCCCCAGGCCTTAGGTTGATGACCCCTGGTATGAAGGGAGGGTTTAGATTGGTGCTTTGTGACAGAAGAACCGGAGCTAGGTTTGAGTTCTGAGGGTGACTAGCAATATTGGAAACAACATTAAAAATGCTTTGCCCAAACCCAGAAAGTTTATCATACTCAGCCCCCAAAATTCACAGCAAAACTCCAATCAAGCTAACAATGTTTGGTAAAATCAAGCTGTTCAGTTGTGTTAGAAATAGAAAAGTCAGTAAGATAGTGGTAGTAATTTTGAGCTCTTCCACTCATTTATCACTTGATGACTCATTACTCCATGAACTACATGAAATACAACTGAGCAAAAATTATAAAAAGGATGAAGTCGTCGTGAGGATGAAATAGGGTTATTCCAAATATGCTGACCTGAGTTCCTTGGAGAAGAGGCAGGATATAAATTTGAGCCTATATTCATAAACCTATAATGCAGCGGTGGCTTTATGGTGCCATAGGACATTCCATCCTGACAAAATTGTATCCTGCTTGTGCCGAAATTTTCCACACTAGATCTCCTTGCCAGCAAGAGGCGTTCATTAAAACATCAGCAAGAACGCTGCAGCAATTTCCAAGAAGGCAAGTGAAAGAACTTGTCAGTTTTGCCAATGTTTAAATATTTTCAAACTATATATATTTTACTAGGTCTAGAACTGCCTCCAGGATTTGGAGCAGGATTTTGACATTTGGCAGTGAGGAAGCTGTGAGATCAGAGAGGAGCCTTATGAAACCCTGTCCAAATTAAACCAAATTTACTCTGTTTAGAAAGAGAACTACTTGCAGATGCATAGAACTTGGGTTTGTACTACTCCTTCATAATTTATTTATTGTATGCATGCCCTCTTCTCAAGATAAAACCTTGGTACAGTATTTTAAGAGAGACAGATTAAGGAAATGCTTATGGCTTAATAGA